ACATATGCCAATAAAAGACTGATCAATTTCAGTCCTAAACATCAATGAGAAGATTTAAACAAACAATACCGAGTAACTTAAACTTCTTGATAGTTCAATACTGTATACGTTTGCAAAAGAAATAACAGTTGATCGCTACGTTCTACTGATTAGAAGGAACTGAGTAAATTTAACATGTATTAGAAATTATACAACTGTAAATCATACAGTTTCGTAAGATCTAATTAATGTTAAGATTATATCGAAAACAGTAACTCGGCTAAAGAGAAATAAATGTGAGTTACTATCTCACAACAGACCCGGTTGAACTCTAATGGTCACTGGTTCTCACTAGAACTCCTGGATATGTTGATTCGTATCAGAAGGGGTTTTGTGAAAATTGTAGTCGCTCAATTTCGTGGATTTCATGAATGAGTTGCAGTTAGACACTAACACCGTTGGATGCTGGCCGGCTCACTGCTCTAGTGGTTAAGCGCTCGCGCTCGAGACTGATAGATCCTGGGTTCGAATCTCGCGAGGAGGGATTGTGGATGCGCACTGCTGAGGAGCCCCACTATAGGGCGAAGTGGCCGTTCAGTGCTTCCAGGTTTTCCATGGTAGTCTGGCTTCAATTCACCCATGAACTCAACTATAGAAATAAATGTACTATTAAATATTAATTTTCTAAAATGAAAATTTTCAACTTTCTAGTCTATTGCTATAGTATACACAAATAATTGATCTCTGAAAAGCAACCGATGTAATGGCTTCGCAGTCTTAAGTGTTATTCAAAATCGATCAATGAAGATACAGCTTGGATACTAGTCATAGTGACCTGACATCAGGTTCACCATAGTAATTTGTTAGATGGTTGTGGGCAACCAATAGCAAACTTTGGACCAGTTGAAAACAAGAGTCCAGTCAATGATTTTTGATAAAGTTGATTTTAATCTTGTAGGTATCATTACTTCACCCAAGATTATGTCTACACCCTACTGACAAATGAAAACTAGCACGAAACCTAGTTCCAAAGTTTTCTGTCTACTACTTCTGTGATGTATGCTGAGAGTTCATTCACTACACTATCAACATTCCAATAGCTATAGCGTATGTTGTCCCTAAATTGTAAACATTTGAGACAACTGAGTTTATTTAACTGGATAAGTTTAATAGCACGATTCAAATATAGATTATAATAGATTGTTTTGAAGTTACTAGTATTAATATAAAAATGTGCTTACTATTGAATAAACATAGAGTATCTTCGAAAGATTTAACTAGATAAGCTAAAAAAGGTATGGTATACATTGTTTTCGAAACACCCATTTACTGGAACACAAATTATCATTACCACACTTTATTTTTCAAGTTAAGCCAAGAGTAACTATAGGCTCCTTCCAAGTATAAATATAATGTTCCAACTTTCTACTTAAAAGTGTCTTCATTGTTTGCCGAATTTATTGTAAAGAAGTCACATCCTAAAACACAAAGTAGTTTCTTTGGTTTAATTTCTCACCATATACTGAATACAGCGGGGTGGGACATGAAATGAATAAACGATATGAATATATCATATTAAGATTTGTATAAGCCATACCATAAAAATACAACAAAACCATTTATTTAAATTTGAAGTGCTTCGAATTATCTCGTTGTTGACATATGGGGATCCTGCGGGAGTTGCCTCAATATTAGCTAAAATGACACAAGGTAGTGTAGGATAGATGGAGTAAAGTTAAGAGTGGAATTTGGGACATATTTTTAATCCAGCTGACATGTCCCAAACAATCCTGTATTTCACTGCTAACCACTTTTTTTCTATAACAATCATTTGTATTCAAAACGAGTTAGTGAATAACCTTCAATGGCAATGCTAATTATACTTTTAAAAACGTGTAGCGGTAAATAAATCCCCAAAATCAATAGTTCTGTAATTTCTCTACATTTGATGATGACGACATTAGTTTTAATGGATTCACCTAGCTGAAGGCGCTCAGTCACACATCCGCATCAGATCAGGAGTGAGTACGCCTTGCTCAACTTCTACAACTGTTAACCAGTTTAGACCGATCACTTCTCGATATATTAATAACCTATCACATATATCTTCCAACCTCTTCACTTCTGACTTTTGATCTCACTAGGTGGACATGATTCAATTGCAGAAGGTGTTATTAGTTAAAGTGTTGTCAAACTACATATACCTACGGCGACTTCAACAGTTCATTTCTTAATTAATACATATATATTAATACTACAAACGAACTAAACTCTTAAATGTATCTGCGAGAAATCAAAGTCAACAAAGTATCTAATCTTAATCTTTAAACAGTTTTATTTTCGTTTTGTCTAATATTTGTGAATAGGAATAAATTTTATGGAAACAAAACAGAACAATATGATATCCATAAATTATTCTACTATTTATAACTGTAATCATAGCTATATAATGACCGATATAAGTTGATCGATTATTTTTTTTCATGTTCTCAGTTCATATCTTATCGGATTACATGGACTATATCAATATATATATATATATATGGTTTTATTCTTTATCCTTTTATACTCTGACCAAATCAATAGTTTGTTTAAAAACTTGTAGACAGATTATTTTTTAAATAGTTGAATTCATGAGTTAATTAAAGCTAGATCACCATGAGAACCTGAAAGCACTGGACGACCGTTTCGTCCTAGTATTGGGACTTCTTAACTGTCCACATCCACGATCCTGCCTATATGCTTCTAACCTAGGAATTATCGGTCTTGTATAACTTCAACTAATCCACAAAATTGAGCGACACATCCACCATTTTTTTCAGTGAGTTACTATCTCACAAAAAACCTAGTCGAACTCCACTGATCACAGGTTCTCACTAGATAATAATTGGTTTTCAAAGTATTTACCTTAGTTAAAGACTAAAAAATCACTTGGTATTTTAACAGTTAGAGTTAATAAATTACATTTAATAGTACAGTCTAATTCGATATTTTACGTACAGACAGTTTTTATAAGAAAAACTACATATTCATAACGAAATGTAATAATTAGTACAACTATAAAGTAGAAGCTACGTTTCTAAGAATAAAGGTAAAATTGGAGTATCAATCAATGAAAATTTATGGTTTCCTTGAAGACAATCAAATCAGGTAGAGAAAAAAAACACAACCTGAGTTACTGGTGATAAGTACTTATATATACTTACACCTATTACCCTTCATGGAAAAGCAAACGTCTCCCATTAGAATTCACTATCGAATTCTGTCCCTGTTATATATACATATATATGATTCAGAAACTTCTGTTTAACATTATTATACTAAAGCATTACGTTTTCTTAAAGTCTTTCATATTACTAATTATTCGATTAGCTTATTACTCTACGTAATTAAGTAATACTGTTAAGTTTATTGAAGCGACAAGTGACCACTTCCTTAATTTTTTAAGAAAAAAAGTATTAATCATGAGTTCATATTCAATTAAGAATGAAGGAAGATAAGAAGTAAAAAATGATTTTCTTATCATAAACTGAAGCATTTGTAAGACAATCAGTGTATATTATGGGATAATCCTAAGATAAAATGAAATAACGATTATATGCTTTCTGTTTTTTGAAATAATACAACCATCATCAAGAAGGTACAAGTATTTATAAATAGTTATCAACGCAAGATACTCAACATCTATTGATCAGGTACCATCAGCAACAGTCTACTGTGGGAGAGAACAAACCAGCTTCTAGCTGAGGAGTTAATTAGAAAAAGACGATGGAAATAGATAGGACAAATATTACAGAAATCATCAAACTGCATCACAAGGCAAGCCCTAACTTACAATCCTGAAGGGAAGCTTGAAAAGTGGAAGGCCGAAAAACACATTATATCGCGAAATAGAAGCAGATATGAAAAGGATGGATAACAACTGGAAAGAGCTGGAAACGATTTCCCTGAATAGGGTTGAATGGAGAGTGCTGATGGGCGTCCTATGCTCTTTGATGAGGAGGAACAAGAGTGAGTAAGTAGGTTTTCTAAAAAAATTTATTTTGACTAAATTCACTCAGCATTATATGATATTTAGGTTATATTCATATATCATAAATATTCATATCTTAGAGAGAAAAAAATGAAATTTTTTAATTGGTGGGTTGCTTGAATATCTGGGCTATCCGTTCCTGACATCTAGATATTTCAACAAGTTATCTGTCTTACATTTGTTTCAATAGATCATTATATGAATTAGTCGCATAACCTATTCAGGTGTGTTTCTGAAAAGTGTACAACCTTTCGTTGTACAAGTTACAAAAGTGCCTAGCCAGAGACATTGTGGTTTCTGGTAATATGCAGCGAAAAGAATGAATGTTATTTAGATGTCGGTTAACTGAACTGGTAACTTCTAACTAGCGACCATTCAATATTAATCGTCAAGATCAATCAGAAAGTAAGAAACGGAAACTTGTTGAAATACTTTGTGCTGAGAAACTTAAATAAAGTAATCAATAATAATAACTCAAAATTCAATTTTTATAAATTTAATAGTTGAATTCATGAGTCAATTAAAGTTAGACTACCATAGAAAACCTAGTAGTATTAAACAACTGTTTCACCCTAATATTAGACACTTCAGTAGTATGCATTATTTCTTAAATAATAAAATATATCAGAAGAGATTTTGTAGAGATTGTAGTAATTTCAATAGTTGAGATCATGAATCATTTGAAGCTAGACCACCATTAAAAGCCTGGAAGCATTGGAATGTTATGTCATCCTATTGTTAGACAAATCTACGATCTCGCCTCACAAGATTCAAACCCAGGACCTATCGGTCTCACCCTTGAATAATTAACTTCTGGTGCGAGACCGATAAGTCCTCGGTTCGAATCAGGAGAGGTGGGGTCATGGGTTCGCACTGCTGAGGAGTCTGACACTATAACCTAACTGCCGTCCAATGCTTCCAGGTATTCCATGGTAGTTTAGTTTTAATTCACTCATGATCTTAACTACTGTAATAAAATATAACTTACCATCAGTATCATAATGATTCCATACTTCAACAAATTGTGCAGCAGTAAAATATTTTAATGAATTTGAATTAATATCTTTAAATTGTGCAAGAAAATTATCGGATTTTGATGATGTATTCATTTGAATGATTAAAATGATTATTGTAAATAATAATAATAATAATGGACTTAAATAATAAATAAACAAATTATTTATTTATTGATAGATGATACTACTCGTTTTGTATAAATATAAGTAGACTAATATACTTTGATTAACTTTTAGTTACTAGTTATTCTAATATGTGTAATGTGTATTACACTTCAATTAATGTTGAGGTTGATGTTGATGTTGATGTTGATGAGGATGTTGATGATGGTGATGTTGAGAGTGATGATGTTGATGATGATGATGATAAGTGTATATTGAATAGATTGTTTTTATTATCATTATTATCAATATAAAATATTTAAATTGTTAATAGTTAAGATTTATGTACAATCTGATTCAATCTCTTTTTTAATAGGCTATTGAAAAATATTAAAAAAAGGTATTATTTATTTGAGATAATTTTTTGATTGGTTAATAAAATATTTATCTTATTCAAGGAATAAATAAGATTGACTAGACAAATTTATTCTTTTCATTTTGATATCTATTAATTCATATAGTTGAGATCATGAGTTATTTTGAAGCTAGATAACTATAGGAAACCTAGAAGAAATGGATGACCGTTTCGTCTTTGTATGGGACTCTTCAGTAGTGCGCATCCATGATCAAGTCGTACGAAATTCGAACTGAAGATGTGAAAGCCTTACCTCTAAACCATTGAGCCGGCATCTAACGGTGCTACTGTGCAACTTTAACTAATCTACGAAATTGAGCGACACCAACAATTTTCATCAGTAAGTAATTATCTCACAACAGACCCGGTTGAACTCCACTGGTCACTGCTTCTCATTAAAACTCCAAGAAATACCTCTTGAAGTCAGTCACTAGTGTGCATATGTTGATTCATATCAGAAGGGGTTTTTGTGAATATTATAATAATTTTAACAGTTGAGATCATGAGTTGATTTAACGTTAGACCACTGTGGAAGATTTGAAAGCATTAGACGGTCGTTTCAACTTAATATAAGACTCCTCAGCTGTGCGTACCCACGATCACACCTCACGAAATTCGAAACCAGAACTTATCAGTCTCGCGCGTGAACGCTTAATATCTAGACCACTAAACTGGTCAGCATCCAACGGTGTTAATTTCTAACTTCAACTAATCCACGAAATCGGGCGACACATAAACCAATGTTTTCAGGTTTTACATGGTGGTTTAGCTTCAATTGACTCATGGTCTCAACTATTAAAATTCATATATATATATTGAGAAAGTTGATATTTTTCCTGAAGAAATTTTTTTTAGAAAAACAACTTTACATTGAATATATATTCATAAAATCAATTACGTGTGCTGCTGAGGAGTCTCATACTAGGTTGACTAGTGATTCTAGGTTTTCAGTGATCTCACTCAAAATCTTAGCAATCTCCACAACCCTATACTGATAATTAGTATATGTTCACTAGTGACTAGCTTCGTGAATGCATCCTTGGAGTTCTAGTGAGAAGCCATGGTCAGTGGAGCTAATCCGTTTCGGATGTGATGTAGTTATCTACCTCAGACAATGGAAGCTGGTCACTCAACTTCGGGGATTGGTTGAAGTTACATATTATTATTGTTGGATCCCGGCTCAGTGGTTTAGGGATTAAACATTTGCGCAAGATTGAAGGTTTTAGGTTGAAATCCTGCGTGCGAGATCGGCATATGAACTGCTGAGGAGTCACATACCAGAATTCCAGTTTTTCAATGGTTGTCTAACATGGATTGGTTTATAATCTCAATTAGATTTCATTAATTAAAATAACTCATTGTGTCATTAAATAAAAAAGAGTTCGGCGAAGAAAATTTTCTTTTCGTCGAGATTATTTACTTAAGCTGTAGATTCGTATTTATCGTTATCCGGAAAGGAAGGATAGAAGGATAGAAAAGATTGCATCATAAATTGATTCGAGACGCTTATTATCAAATGAGGGTACACATTTAACCTAGTCACTAAATTATTTCAGACTAATGGTCGATTGGCATTTTTTTTCTAGGAAAGTAAATTAGCTTACATGGCTATTTAATACAGTACACTTTAGTTTGTAAACGTTCGGACTAACGAAATACATACAGGTCTCATAATATTGCCCAATTTCTAACAGTTTATAAACTTCAATGAATAACTGTTATTCATCAATGTTTCACTTATGAGCTTTATGTTTCCCTCAATAGTATCACCAGTGTGAATCCACGACTCCGCATGAAAGACTAGAACCCAGAACCTTTGGTTTCTCGGGCGAACTCAACCTGTAGATCACTGAACCAGTATCGAACGATGTTTATGTCTAGCTCCAATCGATCCATAATTGGCTCGTGAATTCAACTGTTGAAATAGAACTATCACCAAAAATTCCCATACTGATAAGATTTATTACATTGTGGAATCATAACAGTGAATTCTTTCACATTAAACATTAATTGAATCTTGATTCTTTATCCAATAGGTGCTTAAAATCTACATAGTCAAAATGACTCAATCAGATCACAATAAAACAAAACAGTCCTAATTATTTAAACTTATATATTTTAAATCAAATTTAAGAAAGGACTTTTGAAAAGCTAAAAGCACTGGACAGCAGTTTCGCCTTAGTATGAGACTCCTCAGCAGTGCACATCCATGATCCCTCACAAGGAACTCGAACCCAAGTACTCCAGTCTCGTGAGCAAATGTTTAACTCTTTCAGAATACTCAGTCGGCATATTTTACATTACAGCTTTTCAGTTCTGTTATATCCGAGTGGAGATTAAATTACAGGTAACTTCCGAGGACTATTCATGGACTAATATTCTTATTGTATAACTACTCAACAATTACACTATGTATATTTATAATCCTTTTATGATAAGCTTTATTTTGATCTATAATTTATTATTGTACGATTTACGGTTCTTAAGTTATGTTCAGTTTATTAACTACTGCCTCCCTCATTCACAGCCACTTTTTGGGCTTATTTGTATACAAATATTATTTCCTATTTTATGGTACGTTGCGGTCTGTGTGATTGATATATAAACCAAGTATACCTGAAATAACCGATCTGCTCTGATTCGGAAGCTGGTATCTTGTTCTGGACTCAAGTGGAAGGGCTCGTAGGACATAGGACCAATAAGGACGCTAAAATGCCCACACCGGTTGAACGTCATGGGTTGGCCTAGTGTGAAGATTCGTATAAGTCGTATTCGGATTGGTAGATAAATCGCGTGATAGAAAAACCAGACATCCAAGGTCATAATAAGTCCAATCAGTCATTCTGTCATAGATTACGTCTACTTTGTATGATCATTTACGTTTTATTATAATAAACACTCTATTCTTAAATGATAATATTTAACACTAATCTTAACAAATCGCAACATTGTTGAATAAGATTTGCAGAATACAATGAATTCATTCTATTTCAAACGTGATCATCATGTATGATATTTAGCACACTTATTAAGAAGGCATTAAGTTATCCGGTCGATAATATTAGGAATTGAATTTCGATCAGTTGCTTGATGAACAATATATTGGGCGTTTGTAGAAAAACGTTACTGGATGAGTCCCGGTGTAAATATCAATGCCGTGAGTGAGGTATGTTCAGCTGGTATGATCTAGATAGGACAAGATCTGTATTCTGGATTGTTCTGTTAGTCACAATACTCATGTTCTCATAAGCAGTTATTGATCGTTTGTGTACATTACTTATAAATCTAGCTTGAAATTGTATGCGTTTGTTTTAATGTTATTCATAACTTTAAAACTATCGATGGATGTCACTAATTCAGAGTGTGTGTTTTAATGAAAAGTAATTTCTTTTTATCTAACTAAATCCACCAGATTTCGCCTATGAATACTTAATTGTTTAGAGAATTAACAAAATAAACTCCATCAACTTTGTAATAAGCTAGACTACTCTACCGGTTACCATAGCAATATAGATCTGAACATATTTGTTGGAATGTTAACAATGAAAATAGTAATTCATAAGGATCTTTTATTGAATTCTGTAGAAACATGAACATATATAACGCTCTTATGTGATTTATTTTGTTTATGCATATAATCGATTTTTCCATTTTAAGTGTAAAAATATGCTGAACACAGTGAATTGTCATCGTGATTGTGGATCTATTCTTCTTGAAATCATACATCAAATCCATTTGTAGATCATGTAAAATATCTCCAAAAACGATTACGTATACTTTTGTAAGTATTTTCAGTACGTCAACAAAAAAGTATTTGAGTAACTAATCCTTAGACTTATGCATAGCTGTACATAATAGTTTTCACTATAAAAATGGATAAACTAAATCGAACATCCAGCTTCTATATCAGTATTTCGAAGGTATTAGGTAATTTTACGGTAGTATACTTGCAAACAACAATTATCGTTTAATAGTTGAATTCATGAGTCAATTAAAGCTAGATCACTATGGAAAATCTGGAAGTAATAGATGGCCGTTTAGTTCGAGTATGGGATTCCTCAACAGTAATCATTCACGATCCCGCCTCGTGAGATTCCAACCCAAAACGTATCAGATACACGCGCGAACACAACCTCTACACCACTGAGCCAGCATCCAACGGTATTAACGTCTAACTTTAATTAATCCACAAAGTTATACCATTGTCAGTGACTTACTGTCTCACAATAGACCTGTTTGAAGTCCACTAGTCACAAGTCATGAATTCAACTATTAAATTTATTATAATATCTACAAACATTCTCTTCACTTATTTACATGTTAAATAATGTTCTCTTGTTGTTTTGTTTCTTTTTTCGTAATGTACAAATGACCTTGATATCATGATAACACAATTTAATAATAAGCATTGAATACTTTAACATGCTTTGCACTTCTCTAATATAAAGTTTTAGTTAATCTAATTAAATGAAACTTCCGGAAATCTAATTATTGGCATCATTTTCACAGGGTAGATTATAATAGAAGAAATGATGATCATTAATTTACAGTTTTAATTAAATTTTATAACAGTTTTGATTATTTAGTCAATTTTTCAAAGTAATAAATGTATTACAAATATAATTTAATTGGTTAATAATTTAATGAAGTCGATTGGGTCATTATTGATTATAGGTGAAAACTATAAAATGAGAACGAGAAACTAAATAAAGGTAAGAACAATAAGATATTTTTGATTAAGATCATGAACCGATTGATGTTAGAACACCGTTGAAAACCTCAATGAACTGGACATCCGTTTCGTCCAAATGTTGTGACAAGTGGAGCTAGTCCTTGTCGGGTAGAGACAGGTATGTACTTCAGTACAATGGATGATTGTCGCGAAATTTCATG